CTAATTTTTACCTGAACAGCCAGAGAGGATGCAGAATCTGACAGCAGGATTTGATCCTCTGCAAAACAAAAACAAAAAAAAACATATTAATGCGTTTCATTTGATTTCTTTTGTAGTTGAAAAGACCGCATTCTAAATGTAAAACTGATACCCGGCTTCTTTTTTACCCTTAAGAGGTTGGTACAGAGTTGCTTTTTCAGGCCATGGCTCAGCAGCTGCAGTAGAAAGTGACATTAAATGAACTACTGACATTTCCCAAATAATACTGTATCTTTCAATTTTTCAGAAACTCTGACCCTTAAATAACTATCTAAGCTCTATGCGGGCTTACATTACATTAATAAACATTTAATGGGTTTCTTTATCTTTGACCCTGACAGTAGCACTGAAAACAACAGAACTGTAACTGCTGTAACATCTAAAACAAAACACTCGTGAACAGAAGTACTGGCTTAACGCTATTAATATGCAGAGAAGTGAAATGACTGTGTTTAAAGTAAGCACCGATTATCATCCTAACCTGCCCATCTCTAGCACAAAACACTAACACACCCATATGAACTCGCTACATTACAAACAAGCCCAAACATTACCTGCAATCTGAGAGACGAAAGCCTCTGCAGCAAGAGACATGGCGGCGCAGAAGATATCTACTTTAACCTAAGCACAATAACTGATCGAAAAACTGAAATGGCATTAAATCTCCACGCAAGGGCAAAGCAAGCTCCTGTCCCAGTGTAGTGACGTCACCCTGGAGTTTTTCCTGCTTTCTAGCCAATCACGTTCCTCCACTTCCGATCGCGTAATATGAAAGCGGCCTTGCACTGCTACTTTTTGCGACATTATTCTTAAACCCTTTTTTTTTTTCTTTCTTTTTTTCCCATTTAATTTTATTACAACCACAATACATTTTACTCAGTATATTTTATATTTATTTATGTGCTAATGTATTTTATAGTGGAGGAGCAGGTGCCTGCTAGCGGTCATTATGGTGCCTTTGGAACAGAGCGCGGACATTATGAATTATGATATACGCGCACGCTTTACTCTGTGTGTGAGCCGCATCTTAATTGTTCTTTCGTCAAATGTTAGGCTACTAACAAGAATAAGAACAAGAATAAGAATATAAATATAGGTGTATTAATATGTTAATATGTTAAATCTTGTAAAATCAATGCGTCTATATTAAACTATATCAAACAGGTGCATTAAACCTACAACAATAATATATATACGCCTATATATATAAATTATGTCTTTTATCTCATAATTATGACTTAGTATCTCATAATTCATCTCATAATATATCATATATATATAATATATATAATATATATACATTATATATATATCTATATATACATATATATATATAGCCTATATATATATATATATATATATATATGAGAATAACGAATTGTAATAATTGTTTATGTTATTGTATTGTATTTATTTACAAACAAAAAAGGACACATTTGTACACTCTCTTTTTATTACAGACCATTATAAATTTAGAACATTTATAAATATATTCAAGTCACTTTTCAGAAAGTGCATGTATTTTATTGAGGTGCTGTAGGATTTTTTTTTCCAGGCTTGAGCAGAGGTCGTGGCATCTTACCCTGTTCTCTAAAAGGAAGAAAGGAGAGCTGAAGAAACACAATTCAATACAAACACACACTAAATACTTGGTAATATTCCAATTATTTAGGATATTATTGGATGTTAGACAAAATCACAACATATTAGTATTTTAACCTTAATAGCTAAATATTTGAACGGCAATAAAAAACAAATAAATACATAAATAAAATAAAAAAGATGTAAAAACTCTATTAAACAGCTGTTTTAATCTTAACCGTTTGTAAGCTAAACGAAACATAATTTTTTTAAGTGGTTGAGTCGTTTATGCATTCAGCAAATGCAGTGTGGTTTTATCATGAAACCAGACGTTTTTGCATCGTCCATATACTCCCCTAAAACCGAATCTGTGAATGTGCTGTGTGAACACACATTCGGTTCTACAGGGTATATATAGACGACGGAACAAAGATTCCAAATGAATATTCAGAAATGGAACGACCTAAAGAAACTTAAGAGCACAACGTTTCCACGGTCCAGACAAAAAAAATAAAAATAAATAAAGCGTTGATAATGATACTTGCACACGAAAACTGAAAACACCCTGTAAACAAGAAAATTATTTTTAAAGCAAAGTCATTTCGAACACAAAGACACCATTTAAGAGGAATTATATACCTAAAAGACAATTTTATCAAATATTTCGATCATGTTAAAGCATATAAATAAATTGTTTCTCAAAAAATGCTATTTTGAGGTATTTAATGAATATACTTTTTTCCTCAGTGTGAATTTGATGTTGTTAATTTCAGATTTTCTATTTTCCAGTCCAAAATAAAATTGGTGCCTATTGTAATCATGTAGCCTAATCAAAAAAAATCTGCTATCTTAGAAAATCTAATTTCTTTCTTGGTCTCTCTGTCCCTCTCTCTCTCTCTCTCTCTCTCTCTCTCTCCCTCTCTCCCTCTCTCGCCGCAATGCAGTAGGTAGTAAATTAAAATAACCCCCTCGCTTTCAAATTTAAATTGATTCGTTAACAAAGAAACCAGAATAATAAATTCAGTTTTACTCACAGAACACAAATGCACAACACACTTTGACTTATCTGACTTATCTCAAACTTGTCTTACTGTCTCAAATTTTTACATGTAGCCTACTATTTATCTCACTCAACAATGTAAATTGCCGTCTGCATTAAAAAGACACAGGATGACCAGACTATAAGAATTTTCCTGTTAAAATTCACAATTGATCATTATTGATAAAGCGACTGATTGATCAGAAAAAGTAAAAATAAATAAATAAATAATAAAATAAATAAATAGTTTCAAGAGGAAAAAAGCATTAAGCTTGATTTTGCAGCTGCACTTACCATTTGATGCAAAAACGACCTATTTAAAATACATTTCCCTGTATTAAAGTAAACAGACGATATTTAAAAGAGAAAGAAAAAGAAAAATAAATAATATATTTAAAAGAAAAAAACTAATAAAATATACGGCACAAATGATAAAACAGACAGAAATGCAGACAGACGTCCTGGTACTGGGCTTTCCTGTGCAACAGAGCGCGTGGGAAGGAAAGAGAAGGGGCCAATATTACCGCGAGCCCTTAGCGCGTCTCTTCTGTGATACCCAATGACGGACGCGCTAAGCTCGTAAAAACCGTTTTACAACCTGAGCTGTAAATCAACTTTTGAGCTGGGAAGAGCTTAGAAACCGCAGATTTTCTACCCCACAGTGGCGTTGCCAGCTAACCATTTACAATCTACAAAAACGAACAAATGAAGAAAACAGAAACGCCTGAAATTGGCTCAAAAGATATGCGAAGTCCGGAAATATGCAGCATTAAAGTATTTCTGCACATTATCTGGACTGCTCTTTGTAGCTAAGTTAATCAGGGATCTTCTATAATTTTATGGTAAAAAAAAAAAAAATCCCTTATCCCATTAAAAATCAGAAATTCCCTCTCGGGAATGGGTCTGTACGCATGACTTGTAATTAAAAAAATTATAATTACTATCATTGTCTTTCATTCATAGCATGGTATTACAAAAAAATGGCAATGCGATAACCTTAAGGTACAAATATGTGTGTGTGTGTGTGTGTGTGTGTGTGTGCGTGTGTGTGGTGGGAGTTGAGAGAGACTAAATGTATTTGTGTATGGGTGTTAAAATACGAACAATTTATAATATTATACAATATAAAATTTTCCTAATAGGCTATTATTGTTTGATGTGTGAGCGCGTGTGTGTGCATGCGCGAAAGAGACACAGGGTATCTCTGTATAGAACATTTTTTATGCAGCATTAATCGTAATACGTCCTGACAGTTGTAGTAAAGTATACAGTTTATATATCTTTTAAATTATAATTTGACGTGTAATTGCATTTCCCCACAACAGTAAATAAGCATAGGTTTATACATGAGTGTCTACAGGATACTGCATTCATACAGTACATATGACATCTTTGAATTGAGATTCTTTCAGTAGGCTATTTAATATTAGCCTATGTGAACAATATATCAATTACGGGAACCATCAAAATATCTCTTAAACCTCAGTTTATTAGGTGAAACGTAATGGCCTTATTTTATTTATTTATTTATTTATGCTTGCAAATAGAGGGGGGAAAATTAACTGGCCAGATTCCTGGACCTGGCAAATTGTATCATTTAACTGAACAATGAATATGCATTTTAGACACACTGTGTACATTAATTGTGTTCCGTCAATTCAATAAATGCAGGTCCCTGAATGAGCAGGCTTTTATAGCATATTTTATTCAACAACTCAGGTAATGTTAATGGTGTTTTGGGTTGCCAAAATTACAATTTAAAATCAGTCAGAGCTAGAAATAGCCCTATATCTTCATATTTCAGGTGAATCTTCATATTACGAATAGACTAAAATTACTTTCTATGACCTCCTCCAACGTCTTGTTTTGAGGTTTTGGTACCAAGCCTTCTTTGGGGGGGAGGGGGCGGGGGTAAATCTTGCTTACCGATTTATCTTCCTAAAATGTGTGCAGGGTACGTTTTACAATGATTGCATGATGTATTGATACAAAAACAGTTTTCACAGCTAAAACATCCTGCATCTGTTGTTACATTTACATATTTACATATTTTATATTTCCATGTAGGCTACCGCCGTTTCTTTATTTCATTGCTTTCCTTCTTTGATTTTTTTTTTTGTATGTGTAACGTTAATTTCTGATATTTATCGTACAAATGAGAGCCATAAACAAGGGTTTATACTTTTATATAATTACATTACAGTTTAAAAAAATAGCGGGATTGATCCATGCATGTCATTGCAGTTTTAATGCAAAATTAAATTTAATCATTAATAAGATGAGATATTTTGGTGCAAGGCCTTTAATTATACACTACAGGGCTTTTATTTTGAAGGTTCAAATTAACTTCCGAAAACCTCTGATTACGTCACCGTCACACGCGCAGCCTCCGACCCATCTCTGTAGAAAGGCAAGTTAGCGAGTGAACTCATGCAACTTTTAATCTTATAATATGCTCCACGGTCACCTAATATTAACCTAATGAACATATGTGTAAATCACACTGCTTACGACTCTACACTAAGCGAAATTGATCCAGGACAGTTTTAGGGCTGGCGAGAAGGCAGGGCAGGAGTTTTTACCCTGTCCCTGTCCCTGTTGTAGTAAATCCTCTGCAATAATTAGAGTTGCATTGTTGTCTCAGTTGATTATACTTACTCTTGGTATTCGTTTGGAGTTTGCTTTTCCAACCCACGTTATTGATAAGATCTGACCTCAGATGCAAGCGAGGATTATGTTTCTTTATATTAATGTGCGAGAAATGTCTTCCAGACTGATGCATTGGAGGGCGTGGATGTGTTGAGAGGGTAATTAGAATGGTTTGGTTTCTGTTTTAAGGTGTGGATTTGCAGTACTGACAATGGGAGCCATAATTTCACGGTGGAAGGTGAGTATTTTTCTCCTTTTGCAATCCCCCCCCCC